GTAATTGATAAAAATTCCAATGCATTCACTGTATTCTTCATTCCAACTTAAGATATGCCGTGCAAGAAATGCAAAATAATCATTGACAGTGCCTGACGATGACTTTAATCGCGATTCCAAGTCGAATCTACTGAAATTACTGATATAATCATCAATCTTCTGTAACTCCGTCATGGCTTGTCTGGCAGATATCAATTGAATCACCGATGAATTGGCGTTTTTTAGTCGAAATTCTTGATCAGACATGTCTGTTAGATCCGGTATACGGTGTTGTGTATAAGTAATTTATTACTGAACAAGATGATCTTTACATAAAATTAGGAACTATTTATACCTGAGGTTAAACGGAAACGGTGGGTTATAACCCAGAGCTAAAAGAATACATTGACATATCTCTTGGAGAAAAGAAACAGTACAGAACGAAACCAAGAGATATTACTGGGAAATTTCATGATAGAAAGAAAGAGAATGATACAGATGCATATATGACAGAAAGAGAAAATACCCATAGCAGAAGAATAGAGAACGACTATATATATGACTATTATACAATTGTCTCTTATGGCACGTCTTTAATATGTGCCATAACAATGTCCAAACTATAGAAAACGATGCAGCAATATCTGCAACAATGTCGATCGAAAAGCGAATGTCGCTGATTTGAAAATTTTCTTTCTCCTTATATATTGACTGAAGGTTACACCTTTGCAGAATAGATGAAACGACCACGTGTGTATTCCTTCATTTTTATCTGTGTACAAAATCTTGAGGGTGAGGGTGTCAGTATGAAAAGGTAAATAGGAGATTTCAAAAATAAGTATTTATTTCACGTGTGCACGGAAATATTTCGTACATTCAACTAAGTCGAATATTCTCTGTTATGTCTTTATGGAAAGGCTCTTTTTCCTCCCTATTCGACGAATAGTACCTAGAGCATTTTTAGTTAACGTGTGATTTTCATAGTTATTTTCATTACCTTGCTGCAGATACTCAATCAGTTGAATCGATTGACTGCAATCGCCGCAATTCGGCTTTCATGTCAGGATGAGGTTTTTGATTCAAAATAGAACGAGGAAACGGTCTGAGAATAGCCATCGCTTCTAAACTCGTAAAGCGTGATATGTGTACGTAGGTTTGAGCAAGATCATGCTTCGTATAAGGCGGAGGTACAATATCGATCACACCAGATTCTAATGCTTTGCCTTGACACTTATGCGTTGTCAATACATAGGCAGGAATGAGTGGTAATTGACAACGAGTGATCGTGATGGTTGTTTTGTTTTGTAACAATCTTTTTTGTGCAGGAGACAGACACGATTTAAGATCTACTTTGATCGTTTTTTGTTCTGGCACAATGAGTATGATAGTTAGTTGTAGGTCGGTCAGAGTGGATGCTAACGGGAGCGCCACAATAAACGAACCTCTCATTGTTTCTGC